CGGCACACTAGTGTGCCGCGGAACAGTGGTTGAAAAACACTGCTTTACATATTGAATGTTCTTCCTTCCCAAGGCCTTTTTGAAATCCATTCAACCCTAAACCTTAAAAAATGTCATCAACAACTTTAAGAAAAATATTCCCTTAAGGCTCACCTTGAAACTTGCATGTTTCTCCAGGATGTTTAGTTGGTAATAGGACTGTTTTTTTTATTTTTTTTATTGCTTTACAATGACGGCATTTTAACCTTGGACTAATCCCATGAAATAAAGTCATTAATTTCTTTTTTAAAATATTTGCACACTTCTATAAGTGTCCTTATGCTGATAAAGATGTTGAATGATGCATAAACCAAACAGGCAAGGGATATGAATGTTTGAAGCAACCTTTGAAAAGCAGTCAAAAAGAAAATGAAATAGGACAGTTTTCCATCAATCAAGCTATTTTAGAAATGGATAAACATGGCAGCAAAGTGTCCTCAGAGTGTTGCTGCTGGCAAAACGGCTTGTTGTTGATACTTGTAAAAAGTAATTGTCCTTCCAAGAATGACACAGAGAGGACGACTGCAGTGGACGTCCAAAACAGATATTTTGATATTAATGCCAACCACAGTTCCTCATAACATAAAAAAAGACATTTTTACTCATTAGCGGATAGTTTTAATTTAATTTAATTTAATTTAATTTAATTTAATTTATAGCTTAGCACAGAATTTCTTTCTGTTTTTGATCAATGTGGATGGAGTATGTTAAAAAAATGATAAAGTCCAGAAAATGTACTACCAGGATTACCTGATTCTACTATGATTAAAACAAATAAATAAATGAATAATAAAGTTACTTTATGTTTCATTATCAGTCAGAGATTCAATAAATATTCACATAAGTATACATAGCACTGGAAATCGAACAATACAGTAAAACATAGGACATGTTTCACTTAATATAACTCAGCTAAAGAAGAACTAAAGTATACTTCATGCTTTAGTTATACGACTACAGATTTATCTTCTTTTTGCATACAGGTACATGTAATGTGCTACACTTAACAAGAGATTCGTGTTTCTTCAACAAGATTTATTCAAAATAAATACGAGCTAACAATTACAGCTTTAGCAAGCAAGTCTGACTCTCAATCACTGTGTTTTATGTGATAGAGGGAGAGCAGCCTGTGTTACACAGCTCCACAGAAAAACTGAATTTTACAAACTAACAATTAATTATTATTATTTTTTTAATTTATGCTGCCATGGCAACATGTGATATCAACCTGATATCTACCGATATCCAATTCTGCTAGTACTGACATCTGTCAGGACCGCCAGCATGGACACTTCCATGTAACCCTCAGTGACTGATCGCTTTCACGCGGCACATTGCACCTGACTAATGTGGTAGTCATTTGTCTGAAATGAGAACTCGCTCATGCTGCGAGTGATCGTACAGTAAAGTGTGTGCGGACGTGTAACGACAAGATAATTCCAACACGCTCTTTGTGTTTTTCCCTCTGCCTCTCCTCCTCGTCAAGCCCAGCCCTTCTTGCTCTCCCCCTTGCTTCCATACTCCAGCGCCTTTCGTATTGCTGTGCTTTTGTTTCAGAGCACGCATTCCCCACACCGCTTCCCCAGCTTGTTTTGCTCAGAAAACGAAGACACGCAGCGAAGGGAGGGTAGCAAAGAAAGACGGCAAGAGGAGGAGACAGACGCTTCCTCGGATGTTGGCGTTGCATGTGGCTTGTTACCCTTCTCTGATACACAGCTGCATCCTCCCTCAGTTGTTTAAAGAGGAGGTTGTAATGTGCGCTTCATGACTGAATGTGTAATTCTTGTTTTGTTTGTTTGTTTGTTTGTTTGTTTGTTTTGCACCTCTATAAAGTGGTGGTAAAATGTCTAATTTGTAATAATAACTTTAATATCTGTAGCTGATTTCTTCCGGTTGGCTTTTTGTCACACATCATTTCATGTAACAATTTTTAATGTTAAAGGTACTATTAGAAAAATTGTGATTTCATTTGTTAAGGGGAGATAAGCTGTTCATACCAGCCTTGTCTTCTGTGAAAAAAATCACCCCCACCCCTTGTTAAATTATGAATTAACTATGATTCAGGTTCTTTTTTTGAGAAATCAGTTCAATTTCATAACAAAATGAAAGTTTTTAAGTGGTCTAGTCAAAGTCTATGCTTAACTGAGATGCTATTAGATGAGCTGAAACAGCCCAGCCACACTCAAAAACTTTCCAGCTTTGCTGAATTAAAAGGAATTATCCAAAGAAGAGTGGACCAAAAATCCTCCAGATTGCAGCCAATTGCTGATTTTTATTATTTTAAAAAATTAAATAAATGCGATTGCTTAAAAACTGCATTTTGTATATACTTTTATTATCTTGGATGTCTAAACTTAAATGTGGATCTGAAACCCTCAGTGCGGAAAAAGCATAAGCAGAACACTGTCCTCTGGTTGTCTTTGTTGTCAAACTACAGTGGGAGACAAATCTGTACAAATGCTAAATTTGTAGCTTTTTTACAGCCATGTGTATATTTTCTGAAAAATGGTGGAAGCAGAAGGAGTTCAGCTCTATTTGCAGGGAAACCTAATTGGTCACACGACACCGTTTTGAACAGGGGCGCAGAGCTCGTGCAACAGCCACTAAAGGACCTGTCAGGTGGATTCTCATCTCGGTTACGACGCCCGCTCAGCTGTTTCAACCTCACTCGCCTTTTCCTTTCAGAACCTAAGGGCCTGTCTTTTCATTGACTAACAAAGGTGGTGCATGTTTCCCATCAGAGGTGGAGACCACTGTGTAAAATAAACCCAGACAGAGAAACATAAAAGAGGCGTGACATCTTTGCTTTTCACTGTGTTGGGACGGCCGGGTGTGGAGCTGCAGGAGAACCAGTTAATCAATAGCCACAAGGTCAGATGGCCAACGCCGGGCTGGAGCGTGCTCTGTTAGCGGCAGGCAGAGCCGTCTGCTGCTGAATGGGATTTGTAGCACTTGTCAAAGGCTTTAAAGGAGCCCTTTCTGGACGACTTGCTGCAGGTGGAAAGTATGAAAGAGGGAGGCGGTGGTTAGCAGCAGGAGAGGGAGACATCTGCTGGACACTGGGAGGCACAGCAGCTCGGCAGGACAAGGCCACCCGATGTTATGGTTATGATTTGTGCAGTTAGACCCAGAGGAAGGCGGTTTGGACTGTTTTTATAAACACCACTCAGCAGAAGCCGATAAGAATAAATAAGGTCTTTTGACAAATTCTTTCCTCCAGAATTTCTCTTTATTCATGCAAGCTGTGTGTTTAAGTGCACTCCAGGTAATTCCACCCTGGTAATGCTTAAACCAGAGAGGATTAGCAATACAGTGTCATTCTCAAAGTGCTCCTTTGAAGTTTTCCCCCTTTTTTTTTTTTTGTTGCTTTTATCAAAGTAAAGAATTCAAGCTTTTTTGAGTTCGCATGCTCTTAAATGTGTGTGTCTAAGTTAAATGCTGTGCATTTATGCAGCAGTCAATCAAAGATAAGCACTCCAGACTGAAATGAAAACTCCCCGACCGAGCGCCTTGCCTCTGTTATGTTGGTTTCACTCGGTGGGGAATCTTGGGGGACCCTTTATCAGTGCCGAGCAGCTTTCTGGAGCCCTGCCCCCGCACACATCCCCACCCCCCACCTGTGGTTCCTCAGTTGGTCTTTTGTGTGAAGGAATGTGGGAAGGACCAACGCTGACAGAGATAAACACAGAGGGATGGTGAGGGGATGGAGGCCTCATCGGTGAACCAGCACGATACCTATTAATCCGACTCAATCCTCCACTGTGAGATGGTTGGAGTTGTAGGATACGGGGCCCAGATTGTTGCATCTCACTGATCCGAAAAGAATATCATGGTAACCCGTGGCTCCTGTGCATTCAGGAAAACTATGGAAACGTGTGGAATTTGATTTCAAGGTTTTACAGGTCTAGTAAACGATTATGGAGAAAATGGTTCTGTGGGTTCATTCTTCTACCTGCTCAGGTTTTCTGTTCAAATGCCTGAAAAGCTGTTTGAACCTCGCAGGCTTAAAACTCCATACACAATGGTCCTGACCGTTCTAACAGATGTACATCTCCTATTTTGTTTTCTTTTTGCAGAGTAAAACACACACACACAAAAAAACTTTTAATGGAGTCCCGGTAGAGACGTCAAGATGAACACGTTACCATCAATGGACCGGCATATCCAGCAGACCAACGACAGGCTGCAGTGCATCAAACAGGTGGGCATAAAGTGAAACTCCTGCTTTTCCTTTTTTTTTTTTTTTCTTTACTGCTCTTTGAAAACGGACTCCAAGTGGGCAAAAAAAAAAAAAAAAAAAAAAAGAAATCCCAGCCTTACTTTCTCCTTTCAGCACCTTATTTAGGCATCAGTGTGTCTGGGCCCCCAGCTTCAGTCATACAGATCATGTTGCAGAGGGCCACAGAGGGAGGCAACCTGCCTATGAACACAAGAGCAGACTTCAAAGCTGCATAGCGGACTCGGAGTTCGTCTCTCCTCGTTCTGTGTTCTCTGACATCATGCTGCCAGCTCCTGACGTATGCCAGCCCTCGCTGCCGTTTTGCCTAAATGCTTCCCTGACTGTCAGCTTTCAGAAGACTTCTCACAGACACTAACATATCCCAGGGCGTCCGCCTCTGCGTGTGATTAATGGTCTGTAGAGCTCATGGGCTGCTTGACTTACTGGCTGGCTGATGGCATATTTGTTTATGATACGTGGGTGTGAGCCTTTATATCTTGCAACATCTAAATGATGCCTTGTCTTGTCATAATAATAAAATAAAATAAAAATAAATGAAGAGGATAGTAATAGAGTAAAATAGCGCTTTCATTTTGAGATTAGGAGACGACACATCTCTCCTTCCGTGTTTCTGCTGAGCAGAATTGACTGATTGCCTGAGCTGGTCCAAAAGTATTCATACCCTTTAAGCAGTAGTGTATAGTTGTAAAATTGTGAGGACAAAGATAACTTGAGCTCTGTCACATTAGCTTGGGAGCAGTTTTGAATAAATGATGCAGTAACTTATCATCATCACACAATTGTACTTTGAAGCTGAAAGCGCTTCAGCTAATATGTTGTTGTCGCATGTTAAATGCTAATAAAGACAATAAACTTTTTTTTATGTGCTCCAGTTAATGATTGTTACAGTACACAGCATTATTTTTAATCAATTATAAGGGGAAAAAGAATTTCAGCTAGTTTTTGAAACATGCAACAAATTAGATTAAGGTCTAGGCTTTGACTGGGCCGTTTTAGCACACGAGTTTGCTTTGATCTAAGGTATTTATTTCATTGTCGCTCTGGGTTGCTGTGGTGCTGGAAAGTGAACTTTGGTTGTTAGTGTTTTGCTGCCTCTGCAAGGTTTTCTACAGTCCACTCATCCTCCCACCAGCTCTGAACACAGCTGAATAAAATCATTTCCACACCATGATGCTGCCAAAACAATGTTTTTCATGGGTGCGGCGTGTCTAAGATGACGGCATTGTAGATTAACTTTCCATCGCATGCAGATTTAATTTTGCTGCCTTGTGACCAGAACGTATTCCTCCACATGTTTGTCTTTGTCTCCTACACAGGTTGTGGCAAACGGCAAATGTGACTTCTTACATGGCTTTCAGTTAACGCTGGCTTTTATTGCCACTCTTCCATAAACGCCAGATTTGTGGAGCTCATGACTAATCGCTGTCCTGTCAAAACAAGTCATGTTTTGTGGTTTGTAAGAATACATTTCCAAGTGGTTTGCAGATTCATTGAAACTGTCAGCGAGATCAAATTAATTTCCTAAAATCAAGTCACCTGTCATTTTTTTTGTTGTTGCTGCTTTGATTAAGTTAATGAAAGTCAGAACTCCAGTGGAGTTTATACACACGCCAGCTCATGCTGTAAAATAAGTCATAGTAAAGCCAACTTGAAAGGCTTAGTCACTGAGCGTTGAGCTGCCAGAAGGGTGTTTCTTTGGTTTGGGGAAATCTGGCACATAGCTGAGCGGTGTGCTTTATTGCAAGTAGCCAGGTAGAAACTGTAACGTAAAGCTGCGTGAAGAGAAGGTAAATCATTTCACAGAGGGCACTCTGTCAGTTGTTTGGCTCCCTTGGCGCTGCAGTCGCCGCCGGTGGTCATTGCAGTCCCCGTTCTTATCCTTATTCGACCCCTGAGCGGCATTAACTACAGGAACAACTGTGAAACGCCCCACCCTCACCAGCTCAGAAGAGATATTTCTTTACATCATCTTCTTCCCCCCTCTCATACCAGAGCTGAGGTTGTCATTGGTGACCGCTGCATCAGGCGGAGCTGGGCTCAGATCAAGACAAACAGCCCCTGCTGTGCAAGGTCTGATTTTCCTCATGCTGGAGGCTTATACGCCTCCCATCAGGCAGAAGTAATGCCAGATATCACTCATCCAGAAGAGGCTCTTCTCCTCTCGCTCTTAATCAACAAGAGCATCTCCCGCTCTCTCTCTCTCTCACTCGCCGTTCTTGTCTTGCTATCAGTCAAACACTTTCGAGAGTCCGAACCCAACTCTTCCAAGGTCTCTCTTGAAGCCCATGATATCACTAAAGAGGGGTTTTTCTATAGGCATCCCCGTCATGTTTGCAGGGAAGGTCCTTTTTTGTCGTCAAATAGCTGCCCTTTCAGAAAACACTCACCTCCGCTGCCCTCTAAGAACAATAGTTTTACCTCCTCTGCAGGAAAACACAAAACAAGATGCTTTAGCTCCAGATAGGAATAATAAAAGCTTTCAAGTGGGCTCCAGTCTCGCCAACTGAGCAAGCCGCAGCTCCGCGCCGTTTCAGAGCTATTAACCTTCTGAGGAGTGAAGAAAGGGAGCTCAATTTTAAAAACCGCTTATTGTGTCCTGCTAGCCTCAGAAGCCCTCGAACAGTGAGAAGAAAAGACTCGACTGTTTCAGGCCTCAGTGAACAAGCGAGAGAGGCAGACAGAGAGTGAAAGAGATTAGACAACACACCAGCGGCTCACATTGAGCCTGCACCCATAGCTGCCAGGACCAAGGTTGTTTTCTTTGTGCGCAGCCAAGTCAGGCAGTGGACCTCTGGTGTGTTACACTCTGCAAACCGGCAATGAATAAGGCAAAGAGCGAGAGAGAGGGAGAGAGAAGATTGGAGGGAACGCTTCGTTTGCTGTGCGGGTCATGGAGGCAAGGGATGGGTGTTGCCAAGAGAGATTAACAAGAAACACTGGCATCATTGTTGATATGGGTGTGATCTTCTTCCCACAATGCAGCAGAGCTCCAAGTGGGCGTAGATTGGAAAGAGTCAAGGTCCTCACAGGGTTGTGCAGAAACACAAGACGGTAAATCAAGGCAGGTTGGAGGCTGCAGAACGATTAGGTTTTCAGTGGGGTTTTTTTTTCTCTTCAATTTGTACTAAACGTGAGGAAAGAAATAACACTTATTCTTTTCACTTCTAATGGGTCTATGTTGTGTTTGCACAGCACTTACAGAACCCGGCCAACTTCCACTCGGCTGCCATGGAGCTGCTCGACTGGTGTGGAGATCCCCGGGCCTTCCAGCGACCTTTCGAGCAAAGTCTCATGGGATGTCTGACGGTATGCAAACTACAATTATGGTTTTGGTCGATTTTTTTTTTTTTTTTTTTTTTTCAGGTACTTTTTAGAAGACGGCAGCAAAACAATAATTAGACGTGCATAGTTTAGTGCAAAAACAGAAGACGAGACAATGTGTCCACATCTTTTATGTTTCAATGTTTGGACTGTGTCTTTGTTTTTCTGCAAATTGCTTTAAAAGCAATTTATAAAAGGTTATCGGCAAGGCATTCTAATTATAACCAGGTATGAGATTGTCACATTAGAAGAACCTTGAATATTAAAACAATGGTTTTAAACAAATAAAAGCATGCTCAAGGACAACAACTCTAGTACCAAATCACAATATGCAGGAAATGGCTATTAAAAGCAAAAACACAATATATATATATATATATATATAATTAAGCATCGTAAGAAAACACAGAAACTGTTTCTTAATAAATTTTAACTTGGCTGTGGGAGAGACTTCCTAGGAATGGTTGCTCAGTGTTAAGTCAGTGTTAGCATCGCGAGTAATGTGGTAAATCAAAGGAAGTAGACGATGTGGATCTCAGAATCTGTGAGGGAATATCAGTGTGTCAATATACAACAGATGTGGAAGTGTAACATTATGGGGAGACTAGAAAGTAAGAAGGAGGGGATTAAAATCAATGCGGTGTTTAACAGGACGCTAATAAAGTTATTGAAGGGCAGAATATCCTCGGCAGGAGGAAGTCTGGTAATAGCCTTGGCAGCGGCATTTGTGACCAGTCGAAGTGCAAAAGGTACTAAGGGAATGGTACGAACTCATTATAATCTCTGCTGGAGAACATAATGAGATATATTATCAGATTCAAAACTCTGATTGATGGTTAACAGCACAAATTCAGTCAGGTGTGATTTTGACCAGGGTTGCATTTATACAGGTACAGTGTCTGTAAACCAGACCGGAGCTGTTCAGACACACTGTTGTTGGTAACGTAAGAGAAGGTGCACACCAGCACTATAGCTGTCGCGCTGTTCCTACAGTCTGCTTTTTGCTACATGAAAAATAGCAACATTTTCTTTTTAGGGAAAGGTTTAGCAGTCTTCTCTTAGTCAGTGTGCAGCAACAGATGGAAGAGGGTTTTCTCAACGGGCCGTACATGCTGAGAATTTCAGCCCCTGCAGCACTTTCTCTGGCATCTTGTTCTTTAAATTGGTGGAACAATATAAAGGACTTTTCTTTCTAACAACATGCACACCTTTAGTTCTACCTGAGCCCTTCCAGCAGGCATAAATATTTAACTTCAAAAAAAAAAAAAGAAGAAGGAAAAAAAAAGCCTAACTCCAACGTTATTGTTTCCAGCCAATATTCTTGTGAGAGCAAACAGATAAATGATCATTAACGTCTAAATCAAAATAAAAGCCTCTTAAAGGGTGATAAAGAGCTGTACAATGGAGCCCACTGGCAGAATCCCTCTCAGCATGGGCTCCTTCCATCAGCTAAACTGTTTCATTAGACTCTGAGAACAAACTGCTGCTTATTTGAAGAATTACTGCTAGCAACAAGCCGGAGCATTCTTAAGAGTAACTCTGCAAATCAGACGAATGCCACATGCGAGGCTGCTTGTTCTGTTTGTGATCTTCTGCATGTACAGCTCTTCCACGGTGGCACCAGAGGCAATGACAGTGACACAGCTGCTGCCGTTGCTATCAGCTTCTTATTTTCTGAGATGTAATTGTAGCTTTTTGTCTGCACATGTGCATTCTGTGTCAAGTAGGTGTGGAAAAGCCAGTGGTCGCAGACGTGCTGCGTAATTTATTTCTGTTCAAAATTGTATTTACTTGCAGTTATTTTATAGTGCATAACTTCTTGTGTTCTCTAGGTATAGATATTACATGACACAAAACACGTGGAGTTAACTACTGTTCAAAATGGACAAAGGGGCATTCTATTAAATCTGCAATATGTGACTTTTATGAAAAGTTTTGGCAGTGTAATATGAGACGGATAATTAGCGAAAAGATCGATCTCTTCCGACTTCTCCCTGAGCTCTGATTGGTTGTTTCTAGTTAGCACTGGAGGCAGAGGTGCTCATTTTTTTGCAGATAAAAAAAAACAAACAAACGAGTAAATATAGTGACAGTTTCAACAAATGTATATATAAAAAAAGTACATAAAAGTAACATACTGCACCTTTAAAGTAGCGCACATGCAATCAAATTCATAGATGAAGAAATGACTACATGAAAATTATCACATACCTAAGCCTTTGCCTTGCAGCTAAAAGGTCCTGGATGGCCTGGAGTCTCTCTGGCTGGAGTTAGCATGTTCTCATCGTGCATGTGCGGTTTCTCCCCAGCCTCTCCGGCTTCCCCTCTACATTCTGAAAACAGGGATGTTTTAGGTTAATTGGTTTCTCTAGATTGCCCTTAGGTCTGATTGTGTGCATGGCTAATTGTTCCATGTGTCTGCGTGTCCCTTTGGTGTGCTGACAGTCTGTCCAAGACGTGTCCAACCTCTTGACCTCTAACCACTAGAGATAGATACCTGCTCCCTGATGATGCTGCAAAGATGAATGGATGCTTAAACGTGCTTAAATACGCCATCAGGGTTTATTAAAAGCTCTAAAACAACTGGAACTGAAGTGAAAAAGATTGGACAAGCTCTCAAGCTTATTTTGAGAAGGTTGAGTAAATATCCCAGAGGCTGACTGAGAATTGCTGCAAATAGTGGCATCCTGGGGATCACTAAGTCTTTATCTACATGCTATCTCCAACTATCTACATGCTAACTGGTTGTTCTAACAGCGTGAAAGAAGAAAACATATATTTGCCTGGAATGATTGGAGATTCTAGGTCCCAGGACTCTGAATTATCTTGAGAATTGTGCACAGGGTGAATGATCTTTGTACCAGGCAACTGTATGAAATGAAATGAACTGGCAGTTTACAGAACTGTCTCCTCTGGACCTATCAGAGGTTATTGTCAATCAGAAGCTGACCTGAGGCAAAAATAGGATGTCCATTTCCAGCAACAAGCAGGATTAAACCACAAAGCTGTTTTCGTTTTATTTTATTTTATTTTTTCTCCAGGAAGGAGAGATAGACACAAATCTGAGCAACCCACTAACCTCTCAGCACTTATTCCAACACTGTTTTCATATTGACAGAACTATGGGCCCGCATGCACATCCTCCGAGGGAGATTAGGCTAAAAAAAAAAAAAAAAAAAAAATGGCTTATGAGGTGAAACACTGTTAAATCCATGTCGAATCTAGGCTGGCCTTCGTAGCTGGCCGCCTGCCTCGTGTAAACCGAGGGGCCAACCCACTTACGAGGGAAATCAAATGATTGACAGCAACTATTTTGACTGCTTTTCAGCAGAGGTTGCATAATAGTTTTGGCCAGATGGATTATGTTGACGTGCTGATGATGCCTAAACATGTCCAGATAAATGTATTACACTCACTGGAAGTATAAAGTTATTTATGATGGTTAATTCCTGCCTAATAAATCTAGTTACTGACACAGGTTTTATGCACTTTTTGTTGATGTATTTGCTTTGTTGTTTGTGACAAATATCGACTGGGGTTGTAAAAGGCTCATTAGATGAAAGCCAGTGTGTTGAAGTAGTTCCCCTCTGCATATGTCTATGTAATCCTATTTCACATCCCTCAGGATTTCCTGCAATATCATGTTAAAGTCTAGAGGTTTTACTTATTGTCTCTAAAATAATTGGCCTCTCCCTGAAGTTATTTCAACACAGGGCCTTGCAAAAATATTCATAACCCTTACATTTTTTTTTTACATGCAGTAAGTTATTTGTAAAGGAAAACTAAAAGCTCATATTACCTTGAACACACCATGCCCACAGTGAAACACGGTGGCGGCAGCATCATGCTCTGGGGACGTTTTATCTTAGCAACAAGAAAACAGAGTTGATTAAGTGACTGGGGATTATACAGAGATAACTACAAATGCATACCACATTTTTTATTTTTTTTGTAGAAAAGATTTCAAAATGATGCATAATTTTTCCTTTCTGTTCATCTGATCGAGTTTACAATATTTTCAGTATTTGTCAAAGCTTAAAAAATGTGAGGGAGGGAATCTAAACCTGAAAACCAACTAAAATGCGTTGATCAGAGCTGAAGGTTTATGTACAGTAAAGAAATCACTGAGGTTAAAAGAGATGGATTGCCGGGTTTTTAACACAGTCTAAAGAGACACTTCCTGATTTATGACTCCTTCTGCAGGTGGTGAGCCGCGTTGCCGCTCAGCAGGGGTTCGACTTGGACCTGGGCTACAGGTTGCTTGCTGTGTGCGCCGCCAACCGGGACAAATTCACTCCTAAGTCTGCAGGTAAAGACCCTCCAGCCAAACAAAAAAAAAAAAAAAAATGCAAGCTGATGCATGTTCATCCATCACGCCATTTTAGTACTGCTGACTTTGAAAAATAAAATTATCTCATTAAATCGCAGCTTTTAACTCGCTGTTAATTTACCAGATTATGCAGTGGGCCTATAACCATTAAGTGCTCAAAAGCAAAATAAACGCACATGTTAAAGTCCCCTGTAAATCTGAGATTTGGAAGTGTTTGATTTCTTTCCACCAACAGCAACTAAACAGACGGCACACAAAAAGCCCAGAGTATGATAATGTCACGATATTTTTAGATCCTATTAAACATTAATGTGCTATTGAGATGAGTTGTCTGAGTGGAACCCCTCAGAAAAACTGTCTACTCAACACCAGCAGGCTGTGTGGCCCTACCTGTGAGAGTGCGCTTGCGTGTGGCGTGTGAGCTGCATGCGTGCGCACTCATGTAACGGGGAAGGGAGAGCAGTAATGCTATCCTCAGACATTTATCTATCAAATCCAATTTCCTCCAATCCATACCTCCCCTCCCAGCCTCCTGTGCTTCTCCAGCAGCAGCTGGATCTTGCGCATTTGTCAGAGCGAAGCATGCCGAGGCAGAGCGGAGGAGCGAGGGGAGGGAAACAAGGAGATGGATAGCTGGAGATGTGTCGCTCGTACGTGCCGGACCCTTCACGAGGCCGCCGGCAGCCACACGAAACGCAGATAAACCTTTGCTCAGCTGGTTAGATAAGCAGGAGAGTTAAATATTTTGATTAAACGCTTTGATTTCTTTGTGATTTTTGACAAGCCAATTATCTCACACGCGCAAAACAGGAACTGCGGTGACTGAGAGTGGGGCGCTCTGTAATCTTATCCCATTATTCTCCACGCAAGCCCCATTGTTGTTGCAGCCTGCCGCTCAAAAGGCAGAAACGTATCAGCCTCGGCGTTTTTCACTCGCATTGTCCGCGATAAGTACATTTACTAAAGCTGAATATCTTCTTTCAGTTGTGGCAGACAGCATCTTGTTGGGAGGAACCCTAAGTGCTCCGACAGACGTCAGCGCACAATATTGATCGCTGTATTTCTCTGTCTGTCTGTGTTCTTGTGTCGGGATAATGTGATTGCCGTCCAGGCACGGCCCGGACTGGCTGGCTGGGCCCGGCTGACAGTCGGAATCATCTTCAGGGCTGCTGATGATTCTGGGATCTATTAGGAGGCAATGTGGAGTTTCAGGAAAAGCTGTTTATACATGCTGGACAAATGGGAGATTTAGTGTAATTATGCAGGGTCAGAGCAGGAGATATGATCCAGGCGTTCATCACATGAGGACAGCAGGCGGACTGTGAGCAAAGAGGGATCATCCGTACACGGACGTTTGTCTGGGAAACCAGACGGGATGGAGGAGAAAGTAAACGAAGCAGATTAGGTTTACGCTCATTGTTCTGTTCACAAGACATGAACGCTCACGTTTTTTTTTTCCGTCCTACATGAAACACAGATACAAATTTGCTCATACTTGTGACTTGGAAGGAGAAGGATTCATCCTAGTGGTGGGCAAAATGTGCTTAAAATTTTAGCGCAATATTTTGTTTTCCTCCTGTTATATCGATGTTTTAGGTAACTACGTCAGTGACAACATGCACAAATAGAGATGTTGTTCTTGAAAAACATTCTCATTTAAAATAGGCTTCTCCAGGATGCCACTTAATTAAAAGTGTGATTTGTATCACTTAACTGCACACAGTAACTGCATTTATTCATATTTTAGAGTTTAGTTATATTTATTGATGCTCTCAAGGGACCGACAGCGGAGAAAAAAGCAAAAATAACATTTACAACCACTGTCAGTTTTGTGTTTTTCTGATTTTTTTTTGATAAATATAAATAATATGCAATGTGATAAATGCCCACCCCTAATTCATCAATTTATGCTTCTATCATGTGCGAAATAAATAAATTTAAAAGAATTAAATTAAATTAAAAATTTTCATTACTAAAAAAATCTGGAAAATCTTGTATCCCGCCTGCTTTACTCTGTTACCCTTAAATATAGACTAAATAATTAATAAATGAGAGTTAGTGGGAAGATGAATGGACCTAAATCTGGTTGAATCCTGGAATTAAACCCACTGGAGGCTGCAAACGACCTCAAACTGACCTTTCAGTCAGACAACAGTCCTCAGTGCAAGACTTTACAAGTGATCTTACCTGATTCTTATTGTTTTTCAAATAGAATGAGGAGAGTTTGATGTCTTTGTCTTAAAAGGTTGTCAGCTATAATTGCAAGAAAATAGATCTGTATAGTGTTCAAATATAGGACTGAATACCAGTTTCAGTTATTAAATCCCCCCCCCCCAAAAAAAAACTCTTCTTTCTCCTTCACAGTTATGTGCTGCTTTGTGTCAGTAAACCTCAACTAGAAAAAAAACTAACGTTTGCGGTTGTGCTGTGAAAAAGTTGAGGAAGTATTCCTCCTCTTGCAAGACACACTATCAGTTTGTGCATTCATGGGAAGTATGGCCAATTGCGCTGCCTCAGCGTAATCTTCTGACAGTCGGCATGGCGACAGAGGCCTGCGGATCCGACACCTGAGAGCCCAGAACAGGGCCGATGAGTCTGGGGTGCTGTCTTCAGTCTCCTCGAGGAAATTATTCGACAAGGAAATATTTACTTTCGAAACATCAATCAAACCTGAAATGCGCTAAGCTGTTTTTTCAAGACAGACATGTTTAATAAAAGCCAGGCCTTCTATTGATCCTGCCAGAGAAATTGTTTTGATTCAGCAACAAACTAAAATACGACACTCAACAATGCAATCAGAGAAGAAAGAAAAGCCGTGCAAGTAAACATAAAAAATTACAACTGAAACCGAATTTAAATGTAAATTGAAATAGATACTACAGCAGTCTACAGTATACACTGGAGGAGCTTTAATACTTCTGCAGACCAAGATTAGCCCTGAGATTTGGGTCTTTTTCTGTTGATTTGGACTAAACTTTGAAGATAAGTGAAACCGAAACAGATGCAGGACAAGAAAAAATAGGCCAACGTATCAGGTGGTTGAGGAGGTGTTTGCATTTCCTTTACTAGAAAAATCAGCTTCAGAATAACAAAAACTGATCATTATTGGCTTGAAACGTCTGCTGTCAGTCTGGGCCACAAGAGAAGGTTAGCAACCAGTACAAAGGACATCTGTTTTGTGTGTCAGCTTTTTGCCATTTGTAGATTTCAGGGAACTATAAAAGGCCTGGTTCTTCTTCCCTGTGCGACCTGTCCAACCAAGTGGAGAGATTTTCAGCAACAGCAGGCTGCTGCTGATCAGCTGTCTGGAGATTGTGACCCTGCAGTGAAGCCTGGAGGATTATTGTGCTGCTCTAATCTGAAATCAGCCAGTGAAGAGACTTATCTGCTGTTAGGCAATGTAGCATTGGCACAGTTAATTCTTGGAGTAAAGGTGCTCGGCTCTAATGCTGTTTATATTCTTGTGCCCGTGGATGGAAGCTTTCGGTCTCTGATCGGTGGTTACTGAGGTTTGGGTTTGCGTCGTCATTCTGTGCTCTACAGAAGCTGTCTCTTTAAACGTCCTTCACGAATCCTTGTAAGCGTTTCGCACTCGCTAATCTGTAGTCTGTATACCAGCAGACTCGCAGCTCATTAGAGGTTTGTCATAAACGAGGTGTGCAGCTGCCCTACAAATACAACGTAACCCAACAGACTGAGCTGTTGGGATACTGTGAAGTTCAGCAGACAGCAAATCAGATTACCGCCGTAATCCCTCCAGGGTTTTGCTGTTTCCATCCTCGGTGAATATGCCAATCTGTCATCAAGCTCGTAGCCATTCTCTTTATGAAGATAAAGTCGGATTAAATGTCAAAACTGTTGCATTTTCAAATGAGTTGTATCTTGAGCTTGAATAGACACTCTCCAGGTTGCAGATAATTCGTCTTTGGAGTGATATTTATTCTCTTTTTCCTTTTTTTTTTAATGGTTCAATCAGATATAGTAGCTGCTCATTGGTTCTCTGCGTTGCTTAAAGAAATATTTATTTATTTTAAATTGCTGACCCAGTTGACTATCCTAAGTATTCTTGGCTGAGAAATTTACACAGCACTAAAACATTTGTTTCAGTATTAGTCATGTGTTGGCTTTAGCTGATGAAGAATGAAAGTTTGGTGGGAAACAACACTAAGAACAATGCTTCTTCTTTTTTTTCTTCTTCTTCTTCAGACTGCTTGCGTCCCTCCCACACGCTCGCTCACATGTGCATCACTTAGAGTTTACCTTTGCAGACAGAAGCTGTCAGAGCTCAGTCAGTGGACAGAGTGAGACCTGCTGCAGTTACATCAGGAGGACAGCCGTTCTGTCAGCAGTGACAGGAAACTTCCCGGGTGTGGCTGCAGCTGACCTTGTGTCCCCTGACCGACACACAACCCTAAAAGCAGACAAGTCAACGCAGGCACTTCCATTAAACTCTTTCAGAAGAGTGTCCTCACTTCTTCTGCTTTTAGGTGACAGCGATGTAATACTTACAGATGCCACAGTAAAACTTTCTTTTTTTTTTTTCTTTTTTTTTTTACACAAAAACATTAAACGCATTAGGGCATAGTTGTAAAGTTGATAGGAGATGTTTGGTGAGTTTTTTTCTTAAGTTTTTAAAAGTAAAGGTCTACAAAATGTTGCTTGCAACCCCTCTAGGACAAACTTTTGCTACTAGTACAGCTGCAGCTATTTTGGTGCGTTTCCCTCACAGCGATGCAGAGCCAGATTGTGGCAAACTGCTTTCAGCGATTGGTTTCTTCTTGCTCTTCCGCTGTGGAGAACGCATTTGTCGAATGCACGACTAAAAGATGTCTTGTCCAAAGTTGCTCCCACCTGAGCTGTGGCTCTCTGCAGCTCCTCCAGGGTGAACACAAACCTTTTGGCCGTTTCTCTGACCAGTGCTACCTGTCCGGGTAGACGGCCATGTGTCGGTAGGTTTGCATTTGAACCGTACTTTTTTC